TTCCCTTGTAAGACAGACCCTACTGTAGAATGTAATCGAGTTCATAATGAAACTTCATGTCTCTACCAGTGTCATTAACAATTAAACATGGATGCTGCAAAGCGCCACATTTGAATACATTTTCAAACTTTCTAGTTTTAGATCATTTTATTTTAACAATTTTGAACTCTACTCTTAAATATTTTTTTAAGTTTGTCGCAAATGGGAAGAATTGATCATTTACAGACTTAGCAAAGTTAAGTATATTTTTGGTAAGTCAATCAATTAGCAAGAGGACAATTTCAAACCAGCAACTAATGGATACTTTATTCAAGGCAATGAAAGTGGCCATTCTTCACCAGCTACTGTTTACATTGGTAATGGCAAGATTTTAGAGAGTCCCAGTTTCTTACAATATGTTCCTAATCTTAGGGTGAGTTACCGTTGCAATTATATTCTAACCTTTCTCAATTTTTAATATCTTACATCTATCCATCTATATATTAATATTATCATTTTTATAATCTATTTCAGGTGCTTGATCTGTTATTCCAAAGAGGATTTACTTTGAAAACTTATCATCAAGCGCATGAAATTATTGATAAAGCTAAGAAACTGAAAGGCCTCATATTTTATTCATCGGCGGCAGTGCCTAGTCTGGCCAGTTATTGTGAGACTCCTGAAATGGTTGCAATAATGCAACCGAATGCAACTTGGTATAAAAGTTTTGCTTGTTTTAGTTCCAAAGTGAAACAATTGTTCGTTGAAAGTGCTCAAATTAAGGATTTAGAATTAGCACACATGAATCTAGATAATTTAGTGAGGTTACATTTTTCCACTATTGGAGGCAAGTAATTTGTGAACTAAAAACACCAAAGATATAAAATTTAATTTTAATTTCATAAAATTTCTCCATTGACAGATGGTCTACATTTCTATCATGATCTGGTTTTAAAAAACGTTGAGATACTGGAATACGAATCGATGTATTGGTTTGATTCAGACTGTCTTAGGGATGATTTTTTTTTGGTTGTAGTTTACTCGACTTTTGCCCTTCATTGAAATCAGTCCATCTTTACGATATTTCTGTAAATGAAGCAAATAATACAAATAAAATAAATCGCTCATTGAGAGATTTGGTCATTGAATTCTCCGTAAGTAATTTTTAGTTTTTATTTTATATTTGATAATAGATTCTGGTAATTTTAAAGTTACAAATAAAATGAGCAATGATTCAATCTAATTTTTATTTCTTTTTATTTTCTATTGTAGGGTAAGGACTCTATGAGTTTTGAATCTTTAAGAAATTTTCTATCAAAGTATCCAAAGCTGAAACATCTTGCAATCCGGAATTACTCAAACATTGGAGATGCCAATTTAGTCGATTTGATGGAATTGCTGCCTCATTTGGTAATTCTTGATTTACGTCGATCGCCTGGAATAACTGAAAGCTCAGCAAAGATTGTTCAATCTTATTGTAAAAATCATGGCAGAATCATGGAATTTCACTTTTCTTGTGGAGAAACAGCTGATATACCAAAGATCCCACCACACCAACGCACTAATCGATTGGTTAAAGGTTTTGATTTCATGAAATATTGTTTCTTTAAACATTTCAATGAGCTTCCAATGTTAATGGACACAATCAACCTTGAATGAATACTGGTTCAACATTCAACTTTCAAGTTTAAACTCTTGTTAGTTTGTAGAAAGATCCATTTGAGTGACTTGAAAGTTTCTCTGAGCAATAGCTTTCGAGAGACGCCAGTTCAAAGTTTAAACTTCGATCACCTTTTGCACAACTTTGCGACCAGATTTTTTCATGAAACTTATTTTGTTTATGTAACTTTTTATGATGCACAAGAAGACGTACTTATTTTGAGAGATATATTAGGGGTATCAAAAAGTTCTGTCGTTTTTTTAACAGTGACTTTTGCTTTGATTTTGAAAAAGTTCGGCTCATTCGATTGGCTCAGAAATTTCAGATAAACAAGAACTTTATATAAGTGCATGTAGGCCAATTTTCGACTCAATCGAAGTTAGTTAACTATAATTAATTAGCTGATCAATATGCCCTAATTTCAGAAGCGATTACGATGTCCCAGAATTTATTGATAATTTTGATGAAAAAATTAAAATTAAAATCAAAAATTAATATCAATCGTAAGCTTAAGGTCCATATAATCACCGAACAAAATTTAAAACTTATAATCATTACCATTATTTAATTATTGAAATTGTTAGTTCAAAAAATGAGTTCTTTTTGGCCATTTTCTATGGGACTTTTCAATAGGATTTTCATTCAAAATGCAAAAAAAGTTCAAAAAAACCCTCCTATGGAAATTTAATGTTAAACAAATTTTTATTTAAAGTGATGTAACTTAATAATGATAATGATTAGAAAATTTAAATTTTGCTTATTTATCAAATGGATCTTAAGCTTTCGATTGATATTAATTTTTGATTTCAATTTCAATTTTTTCATCAAAAATATCAATTAATATTGGGACCTAAAAATCGCTTCTGAAATTAGTGCATATTGATTAGCTAATTGCTCACAGTTAACTAACTCCGGTCGAGTCGAAAATTGGCCTACACGTACTTATACTCACATACTTATGCCCTTAAAACTATTGAGTCAATTAAAAAATCAGAACTAGTTTAAAATCGGAGCTGAATAATCAGTGAAAAAAACGACAGAACTTTTTGATACCCCTAATAATTTCCCGTTTCCTTTAAAAACGAGGGACAGTAAGAGTTAAAGGTATGAAACTTATTATTGGTTTATTAAAATTGTTTATACATATCATGGATCAAATGCTTTTCCAAAGTTATCAATAGTTCGCTTGATTTTGGCCATTAGTCTAAAAACTTTGAACCTCGATATTTCGAGAAAGGCATCACTTACAATTATCATTCTCGCATTAGTTTAATCCTTTAATAATTAATAATTCAATTCACATTACTAACTTTCCATAATCGCATTTGGGTCTTGATTTTTGGGTTTTAAATGCACAAGAAGCAACTTATTCAACAAAACAAACTCATCTTAACCCAAATCTTGGTAAATAAACCAATTTACTAGTTGAAGTTGCAAAAGAAATGCAAAGAGTGATGCCAAAGGCTCGAACCTTTGAGTTGAGGGTTGATACTTACAATGTGTGTTGTTAGTGGGGTTTGTAGGGACATTAAAACTGAGTCGATTGATGCTATTAAATAATTCATCTGATAAATAGTTTTCGAGAAAGTCGAAGTCAAGGCTGAAACTCTGGTCGCCTTTACTACAGCAATGGAAGCAGATTTTTTCATGAAACTTACTTTACTGATGTAACTTTTGATAGTCAACCAGAAAATGCACTTATTTGAAGAAAAAACATTTTGTTTTTCCTTTAAACCGATCAGTTCGATTTTTAGTTAAACTGACCACATTCTATGATCGTAAAAGTTGACGAGTTGAAATTTATTGTTGGTCAGTAAAAATTGTTTGTACTCATCATGAATTAAATACTTTTTTCAATTTATCAATAGTTCTCTCGACTTTGGCCATTGGCCTTAAAACTTTGGTGCTCAATATTTCGAGAATGGCATCACCTACAATCACCAAGCTTTCACCAAACATTAGATTTTATCATGAGCTATAACTGAATACCTAAGAAAACTTGTTAAGTCATGGATGTGTACCAACAATTTTTATGGACGCTTTGCAAGCTTAGGCTCTCCAACTCTTAAGTAATAATAGAG